TCGTACTTACGAATATGTATAATACCCAAAACTATTTCATTCTGCCTAGCATTCATAGCATTAAAAAAACCGTTTTAGAGATTTTGTATAGACGTACGTGACCAGTAAAAACAAAATTCTAAAAATACGAGATTTAATCTGTAAGCACCTGAAGATTTAGTAATATTCTTGTCTTGTCAAGCATGAAGTAACAACAAGGCTTCATCATAAAAAAACTATTGAAAAACTGACTGATTGTTGGCTTTCACTTCTTAAAAGTATATAATTAGTGACTATATGAGTAATTAGATGATTTAAATCAATCCGAATGATAACTAACTATGATTGGTATTCCTTTGTACTATTCATAATTGAAATTTTACCATTCTACGTCGGCTTTGATAGTCGCTTCAGTCATCCATCATCTTTCCAAAGCCACGTTTTACCTTCATTTGAGTAAAGGTTTCGTTAAGACTGAAAACTTGTCAGATATGTTTTCAAGTAGTGTTTAGTAGCAGAATAATGGAAACAATATATCAAGAATAAGTAAAATACCTACGACACCGAAATCTTGCATTTATATATCAAGTCAAAGTTGCCGACTTGGGGAATGCAAAAACAGCTTTTGATGTAGCAAACAAAAAAACAAATTCCTCTTCGTCTTCATACAGTTTTAGTCATAAAAATCTTAGCTGTTGGAAAACTAGAGACTTTTTTAAAGCTTCGAATAATTTACTTTTTAACCGGAAAAGATAAAAAAAACAAGAAAATGTAATTTATTTAAATAGTCTAGTTAATTTTTTTAAACACGTTTAAAACAATCATGTCGAACACATTGTAAAGATATCTATGAAAAAGGAAGTATTTAAGGAGTTGGATCCTAAACATGTTCATGTATACAACACACGTTTCATGCCTGTTCCAACAGGATAGTTCTACTTCCAGGAGGTTGAATCATGATCTTTATTATTGAAGTAATCAACCGTTCACTGTCAACTATGTGCACGTCATCAAGTCTTTTCAACAGGTATAAATATCTTGTTGTGGAGTTAGAATTTGCGATTACCTTTTTCCTTCACAGTATAAGAACGCACTTCATGAACAAAATGTCAATATTGTAAAGGTTGACGGTATAGAAGTTCGCGAACTGTACGGAGTGTATTAACGCAAGATCTTATACCAACAACTTCTGTCTTATTTGTTTCTTGTGTACCAAAGGCAAAGCAAAACACCACAATTGATTGTCCAAATTAAAAGATATATTTCGGAACCAAATCGCGGATTAAAGGGGAAGCTAAGCTACCTAGTTATCTTGCACGAAAGTGACACGACGGAGTACCAAATGGTGGGGATGCTTGACGGGAAGCCTTCAGATAAATAAGTCGACTTAAACTCTAAGGGTCAGAATCCAATGTCCAGTGATGATTCTTATGGTCACGATGTAATTCTTCCCTTAGACATAATCTATTCCTATGGTCAATAATTTTGGGGAATTATTTATCGCTACAATATCCATCGACTCCACACACACAATACAGGCGAATTAGATAAGGCGACATTCACATCAGATGACAATTCCGTGAAAACTTCACGAAACAATGCATATACTGACATAACTTGAATGAGTTGGTTGATCAATGTTACAACACAATAAATCTGTAAAAAAGAAACTCTCACAGGTGAACGACAAACTATGCAGAAATATTATTTTGCAAGCAGCAGCTTATAAGTGATGTCCTATAATTATACTTTGTTAAATGACTTTCTACTTCGGTAAATAAGGCATTAGATAATTTGTATCGATATAAAAAGTTGTGAAACCGAATATTAATTTTTGTCTTTGAAGTGTTTCTCTGCTTTTTCTTCCTACACCTAGGCGTCATTCGTTAGTGTGAGATTGAAAAGTACTTTTTATAACTAACAGTGGATTAGATTTAGCTTTTTTTGTTTAAATATAAGTGCTTCCCTATTGTAATTAAATAAACAACGAATAAGTTATTATTGTTACGATTAGTGTTATTATTATTACGATTTTGAATAGCATGGATCAAAATCAGGTCAAACTTTTTATATTACTAACCATTAATAAACAGTAAACTGACATTATTATTGATGAAGGAAAACAGAAAATAAATTATCGATTTATACGATAATTTTGTAGCTATATAGTTTACTAAGCATTTCAAAAGATTCGCCACAGTAGTAACTCCCATCTGCTTTATAGGGAAATAATGCAGAGTAGGGTTTTCAGTTGATGTTTGTGTGTGAAGATAGGAAAAAACGTTTCAATTCTAAGATTCACTTGGATAAACATTGTGTCACATAAGGGCAAACAATATTATACTTCCAGAGTTCTACTCATCCAGAGATAATCATCAACTCGTGCTCGAGAACATCTCTCACTATGGCTAAGTAAAGGTATAGTTAAAACCATTAACAGTTCGATGTTGGACCATCTGGTGTAAATTGATCACAAAGCCAGTGCGGAAGAATCCTTCTCTATAATCTACCGACTGCCTAATAAATTGTCAAAAACATCGAAGCACCGTATGCTCCAAACAGCAGAGGCTATTGCAATTCGTCTCAAACAACCAGTGCTCTGTGTTCAAAAGAAGCAAGTCCAGCTAGCCCCTACTATTGCCCTGATGAAAAATTTATGAATTTATAATGTTATCTTTCCTACTTTTTCTGATATTGATTCAGCGTATTGTTATGCTGATGCTATTAAACTGTAATGCATTGATATTAATATTACTGATTCGATGTTATTTAAACAGCATTAATGTTGTTCATAAGACTAATTCACTCATTCACTATAATGTATATATAACTGTAGAGCCTGATGATGAAATTATCGAAAACAGTACTCTTTGTTCAGTATTCATTCTTCTGAAAAGCAAAATAACACATTCCTATTCCTTGAACTGTAGATATCTAAACTGTGAGACAAATTATAAATTTGAGTTGTTGTGTTCTCTCATCTCAATGATTTAATGGCTAAGTTCTCATCGTGTTTTTGCAGACAATATCTTTGGAAATACTTTCGAAGTAAGCATGATGATGTGAAATATCAGCAGTATGTTTTAGGTTGCCTGGTAAGGTTAATCTAATTGTAAAAGAAATGAGAAGACACAGTGTAGAAATACTAGAAATATGTCAGAGCAGATGGGATTGGAATCCCTGGACTGTTAACTGTGGAGTGAATAATCTACCTCATTCAACTAGATAACAACAACGAGGACACTGAGGGTGTGATTATTACAAGTCATCAATAGCATCAAAGGCCACTGTGAAGTGGGAGTCGATCTCTTCCAGGATCACGACAGCAACATTTAACTCAAGACGTTTAGTATGTTTAAATTATATAATGCTATTCACCTATAAAAGCTCTGACCAATGGAAGCACGAAGTCTTCCACAAACAACTCTAAGCACCCTGTCATACTTATTGCTTTGTCTTCTCTCTGAAGATTGAGCTGCTTTATTCAACCTACTGTGGTTGTCAGGTGACTCGACAACTACGGATTTAGAATACGCATTCTGTTGCAGCCAATGGAGAGTGAAAACACGATGATTGTGCCAATTACATAATTTCTAATCCTAAACACCATAATTTTGAAAATACCTCTAATCATAAAATTCTAGATACTAACAGTTTGAACAGACATGAAGGTATGATGTTAGCTGACTCATGGGAAATCCTGACTAATAAATAAGAATGGATATGTATCACTAACAAATAATACTTGGTCAAAGTTCCTGACTGTCTATATCTACTTATGGAGACGTTAAGAAATTGTTTTACAACTGTTTACCCGCATGCACACACACATACACACTGTGTTTAAAATGTTTAACAAAGGTACACCAATATATGTAAGTCCGAGGTCAAATTTTGATCACAGCTTATACAATTTTGTTTATTATACTTGTTAATACTTGTTTTATGACTCATGATTGGACAAAGTTTTTAAAAACAGGAGATGTTCCTTTTATGTATAAACCTCTGTTATGTTAATTTCGATTAATTTCCCTCAAGAAGAAGTTCGGACCAGATCGCCGAACGAAACGTTGAAATTAATCATTTCAATATCGCTGAGACTTTACAAATATAATTTTTTACTAATGGATAAGACCCTATCCAGGTGGTGACATCAAAACCTAACGGTTGATGTAAGTGCCTAAGTGGTAACAGAGAGCAAAGGAACAGAACTAATTATGGGTCGAGAGGCGTTTGGTAAAATCAATGAGAACACAGTACTCTTTGCAGACTTTCTCACGTTTGACTTTTTGAACAGAGGACCGAGAAGAGAAGAAGATGCAAGTTACAATTAATATCCAAAGCTAGGATCCTTTAAGACGAAGTTGAAATCCTTCCAAGAAAACTGTAGATAGACCGCAGACTAAAAGATAATGGTACATATGACACTTTCTCTGAAGTAATCAGAAAAATGTCAAAGAACATTTAGAAACATCAATGACGAACAATATTTGTCAATCATTTTAAACTACCTTACTTGTTCAGTTTTAAAACTAAGGTAATTTTACATAGGTAATTTAAGTGCTAAATATCCTGACCTTTATTGATTCTATTATATATATATAAGTACAACAGGTATGTGTGTGTGATCAAATGTCTCAATTGGCTTGAACAAATACACTTCACATTTCAGATAAATTACGTTTTCTTAAAGAAAAACTAATTGCGTGAGAATATTTTACTAACATGTACATTGCTGGCATTTAATTAAAGTGAGGAGGCCTCAACTTATGTCAACTTCATATTAAGAGATAATAATGGTGGCTTGTGAAAATGTGCTGTTTTGTCGCAAAGATTAGCGTAATATTCTGTCTAAGTATACTCACTTTCTACAACCTAATGAATTTTAAATCATTTTTAAGGCAATTGTTCAACAAAGTGATTCATTAGTAATAAACTTAAATTTATTAAATTTCAGGCAATTCAAATAATAATGAATCGATAGTATTTTTAAAGATTTCAATCAACTCTATCTAACTCACATGACCATAACAGACACATCTGAATTGTATATACTCATTCATTATTCTATATTAATTAATTGACAATTTGTATTCATAAATACCAAATAAAAAGTGTTATCGAAGTTATACACTGATGTATCAAATAATTAATAGGTAAACAAGAATGAAATAATAGTAATGATAATCATAATACTCACCAATAGTTTGATTTTAACACATACCTCTGATTCTACTTTTCTCTTCTTTGGTATATGAATAAAGGTTAGAGCATTGTATCATTTTGCCTGTGTTGTTGTTTTAACCAATATACATTATTAAGTTCAATCTATCTATCTATCTATCTAATCAGAAAATATACACATTATGAAGAATTATAATGTCGTTGTGGAAGCTAATGAATTACCACCTGAACGTAAAGCTACAGCATTAACTCTGTGTATACAAGCTTTGGATTATTATAACAATGAAAAGGAGGTAGCCATGTTTATGAAGAAGAATTTTGATAAACTTTATGGACCTACTTGGCAATGTGTTATAGGACATGAATTCGGCTCGTAAGTGTTTTTGTTTGTTTTCAATATTATTTTCCCTTCTTTTTTATTGGTTTTTTAAAATGTCTGCATATTTAATAATGTTTATTAAAGGGTGACTGGAATGTGGCAAAATAAAGATTCATTTTCGTTGACGGTAGGTATATCAGGAGAACTAAAGCTAGCATGTTCTGTCTATAAGAAACTCTTACCAGTATGTAGTCCAAAACTCTTCTGATTATTATTATTATTTCCTTTAATTATTGGAGGAACATAGGGCTTCAGCCGCACGTCTCCATTGCCTTCGTTTTTCTGACAACTTTTTCACCCCGCTCCAAGTCTGCCCACATGCTTTCATCTCCTCCAAGTCACCCTCGCACTGATGATCAACTCGACGCTTTCCTTTAGGGTTCCACTCGAGCGATGGCCTGACGTGTGATGTCACTTGATGGTTCCTTCAGAGTATGGCCAATCCATCTCCATTTCTTCCTGCTTATTTGTTTCACAATCGGTTCCTGGTTGGTTTGCTCATTGCCAGAGATACCTATTGCTGATCTTTTCAGGCCGGCCATCTGATCTTGAATATTGAGCGGAGACAGCTGTTAGTGAAGGTCTGTAGTTTGTTTGAGATGCTCTTTATGACTCGCCAAGTCTCTGATCCATACAGAGTAGCACTGACTTCATAGTGGAGTTGAAAATCCAGATCTTATTTTTGATGTTGAGTGCTGTTGACTTCCACACAGGCTTAAGAGTAATGAAAGACTTTATTGCTTTTCCGATTCTGGCTTTGATATCCTCGTCAGTCCCGCCCGCAGTTGAAAAGAGATTAAATTTTAACAATGATGCTTCTCACTTTCATTGCTTGAGCGTCATTCACACAAGTTCCCTTTATTCAGTATGTGTAACACAGCAGAAATGCTAACTATAGTAGACAACAAATATAGTTTGTTTCAACTCTTTGATATCCAAAGACACAAAACAATGAATTACACATTCAGTAGCCTTCTGATATGAGGGCAAAACGTATGCTTACTATAAAAATGAAACTTGTGCGCTGTGGTAGAGTATAATTCCATTATGGGTAAAATTTGTTTTGATAAATTCTCACAGTGTTGTTATACAGTAATATTTACTGATGACGATATTCCGAGTACAATTTATTGCTGTCCATAATCATATCAAGGTACTCACACAACTTTCTAACTTTGTTTATATAATTCCATTATTTTTCATCGTTCGACTTGATTGGTAGTAGTGTTTTTCATATTTCTGGTTTGAGTGACGCGTCATTCCTATTGCACGTGTTGGGTGTAAAATCGATGAACAAGGATTCAGTAATCAACCTCTCTCACCATCCACCTGTATTACTTCTTGGAATTGTAACCCTCTCCCACCGTATTGTGTGGTTGTGTGTTAATGCATGCAGTGCAATTGCTGAGCTGCATCATCACTCATACCCCGGAAATATGGAAAATACTGCTATCAATCAAACCAAGCTATGGAAATTAATGGAATTATATAAACGAGGTTAGAAAGTTGTGTGAATACCTTGATAGGATTATCAGCGGCAATAATTTGTGCTCGAAATGTCATCGATAAACATAACCGTATGTCCAATATTTAATCCATCTCATATCTGTAACGAGATTATTCGGATTCCCTTAAATTCTATAACTCAGAGTGATCTAATTTGTCTTCAGTATAATCATTGCCTCAAGAGGATTTTAATGAGGACTGATAGATATTCACGGCGGAATTCAGAAATTCACGCGAGAATCACAATTACATTAGAATGATAACTGCATAAGGTAATTAGAATGTATCAAATCGTTAAGGATAAAAATTACTGCTCATTTCTAATAGTAAGAGGAAAGAAAAGATAATAATTATACTGATGCCTACAGGATAAACAAGTGAATGTTTGGATTAATAAAGGTTCAAGAGTAACATCAGATATGATAACACAATACACTATTCACACATCTGAGAGAGAACGGCTTCGACACAAATACTTCCCCATTGAGTCACATAAAGGAAAAGGCGTTTAGCAAAGAATTACATGTTTAGGCAATATCATTCTCAAGCTGTAAAACTGTATATATATATATATATATATATATGCAATTTTACGGCCTGAGAATGATATCGCCTAAAAGAGTAACTCTTCACTGAACGCCTCTCCTTTTATATGACAAACACTTCCTCCAGTTGAGTGAAATCAGAACACTCTGTTTGTGTGCTATTTACTACAAGATGATTTTCCTAAAACTACAGGACTGATTGTGCGTCGGTGGCACAGCGATCAGCATGCTCGCCGACCATGCACATGGTCCGGGGTTCGATCCTCGGCCAACGAACTCCTTTACCGCATTTAGCCAATAATAAGACTGGTAAAGAGGGAAGGTTGGGCATGAGGATAGCAACCCCATCCTGTAAAAATAAAAATAAACACTGCTAAGCCTCCAGCTTGAAGCCCTATGTTCCACTGGGAACGTGAAGGAAATAAAAAAATAGGAGTGATGCATACGAATATAAGTTTCTAAATTTATGGATTAAACGATATTCGGTTGAGCTTTCTTTACCGCTCACAATAATGACTGCTGCTTGGATGGATAATGTACTACATAATTAATATAAGAGCAAAACATTAGTGCCATGGTAGAATTAGCCAGGCAATGCCTCACTTGAAACTGACTGGCAGAACTTTTCTAACCACCCAGGTGAATGAAGATACTATCATGCTGGTGGTTGGTGCCATTCCTTGAATTCCAGGTGTAAAGATTTTACTAGCAGAACTATCAAATGCAGCCAAATTGAGTGATGAATTATAACTACGCTCGGTGTTAACCATCGTAAATTCATATGTCAAGAAAGTTAGCCGCTGAAAGTGATGTTAGTTGCTTTATGTATATATACATATTTATGCCCTTTAGTATACGTAGCTGTACTGAGTTCATGGACCGATGGATCCGATTCCACTGGGTGACTGATCTACGAACCCGCCTTGTAATCGAAAATCCTTGGGTTCGAACCCTCGTGGTAGGTGAGTACTGTTGAACAGTCCCAAACTATGGCTTTCCAGTAGTTCTCTAACTGATGTCAACTCTTAATGAAACCTACTGCCAATCAAGTCCCTGCAAATCAACACATTTGAAAGTCGATACTGAATTTATGATACGTAAATTCGACAAAAGCATCGAACTTCTAGTGATCACTTCATTCGTTTCCCATGGTAACAACAAAATGAAAAGCGTTCATTTTGAAAATGTTCTCTCTATTTAAAATCATTACAAAATTATCAAAAATTAAAATAATTAAATTTTAAACCTCACCATAGTTAGTTGCCTGTGTAAATTAATTAGTTGTGCAAAATATTGACTTACTATTTTACAAAACACTGTGTTTATGCAAATAAGAAAGGAGTTATGGTATGTAAATCACTTTAGCTAGCTGATTATTGATTTTTTTGGAATACAACTGATAATAGTGCAGTGGACTGACAAAATAACCACATGAGTAAAATTGTAAAATTGTAATATGGATGAATTTTACAGAATTAATAATTTTAGCAAGATATGTATTCATGTTAGTATATGCGAACACGTACAAATATATGTGGGGCAAACAAAATATAGAGTGATGGTACACGAATGAAGGAACGGGTGTAAGATAATATAAGATAAATTAGAAGTTAGTAACAATGTACTTATTAAAATTGACTGATTAAGGAATCTATAGAATTTCTTAAAAATGTGTCTTTTAAGACTTTACACATTGTGAAATGAGTCATATATATATATATATATATATATCGATTTTTGTCTCAGGAACAGATCAGAGGGCGGGTCGGTTGCTAAAAAAATATCGTGATGTTATTCAGTCTTGATTTAAATTTAATTAATGGAAATCGATATTGTAGTGAGTAGACGGTAGTGTTTGTCAAAGCATTACCTTCAGTGTAATGAATATATTATGCTTCCCAGCTTGATTGAGAAAAACACTATCGTTTAAGAAGATTTTACATCATTGAACATAGTATTATGGCTGGTTATTTTAGTGGTTTTGGTTAGTTCATTTTTAAATACGCTTATATATTGTGATTCCGTTAGTTTTCCCCTCGGATTTTAGTAGAAAACTGTTTTTATTTGACAACATAAGTTTGTAATCGATTTGCATCCATAGAAATTGTTGTACATAGATCCAATAGTGTGGTTATTGTGGTACAGATCCCTTGATGTTAACAGAAAGCTTTTGACATGCACTTGTCAGCATGGTGTCTCAGTCACATTTAAGAACCGAAAGATACTTTAATAATCTGAAGAGCTGCAATAGTTTTGTTTTATTCCTTCAAGCTCCCAATGGAACATAGGGCTTCAAGCTAGACCTTTGAAGTTTTGGTAACAGTGGTGTTTATTTTTACAGAATGGGGTTGCTAGCCTCATGCCCGACCTTCCCTCTTCATCAGTTTTATTACTGGCTTAGCGAGGTAAAAGAGAGCGTCGTCTAAGGATCGAACCTAGGATCACATGTGTGGTCGGCAAGTATCCTACCGCTGTACCAACGACGCTGCAATAGTACATACTTCGGAAATATGAATACAATTACAAGTGAAATTTGTACTTCTAAACCTATTTTAGGTGTATAACGTCAAAATTAAAATGCACCACTGTAACACATCTCACAGAAGAGTAGTACACTCCCACATCCAATCAATAGAAGTTAAGCACTTCAGTTATCATTTGGTAAATAGTTAGTTCACTCCTTCATATTCAGTGGAGTTCCATGCAAATGAACTAATACAGAGTAACTTGATTCTCAATAATCCATGTCTACTGATTTTAAATAAATTCATGAAGTAGTCGATTTCGTAGTTTCGTTCGAACGTCATTAAATGTTTAGCCATCCGAGGCATCATAATACAGAAATTTAATCCATATATTTATTGATCATTACTATGGCAGATATACTTGTCATCTAATATTTAGTTACAATAGTGACTGAGATTCAGACAAATATGTAGGCATGAAACTACACCCTGTTAAATTGCTGAGTGCTTTCTGTACGACTACAACGGTAGAATCAAGCATTTAAACGAATATTATTCCCTAGTTATAAACCTTCATCGATTAGATCTTGTAAATAGAACGGATCAAAATATGAACAGGTTCAATATTTAGTCTTAGTCATTGTACCTGAGTTAATATTTAAGATATATCCCGCAGTTTAAACCGAACTATTTTTTGGATTAGGTTTGAAATCGAATTCAAAACTTTGTCTTTTAAGATATAAATGCTAAACTAACTTTTGTCTAAGACTGTAAAGTTGGGATTTATGATAATTCTTTTTTATTTCGCTTTTCAGGTCAATTACACATGATGAAAAATGTTTTATTTACATACACTGTGGACCAGTCAGTCTCCTGTTATTCAGGTGTACCGGATAAGATTTATGTAAATAACAATATAGGAATATACAGTTCTTTTCATACAGTAAAGAATACATTTTTTTCTGAAAAAATTGTGGTGTTGTTATTTGCGTATCTTGAAAATGTAACTTCGATTAGGGAATTATTCAAAAAACAAGTAATACTGAAAAATTTTATACGGCGTCAAGACTAAGTCTCACATCTTTTAAAAGCAGGCATAGCATTGATTTGTTAGGCAGCTTCAGTCTACTGCTAGCACTTTCTTCTCAAACATACTCAGACCATAAATATTTCATTCATAAAAATATACCCATATAAGATTTTCCAAAGGTAACGACAGTCAAACATTGTAGCGTATCTGAATCATTCACGTGAATCCACACTGTTTAACTACGAATTCTTAACTTTTTCACCTATCTAGCAATAATTCTTATACAATGGACATTTGTTCGGTGAGTAGGTAAATTATTTATCTTGGTTTTCAAGCATGTTGCATTCCTGCCGACAAAGAAGTAAAGCGCATACACATGAAGTCTGTTTCGTTTTGGCGAAATTCAAAGAAAAAGGTTTTCTGAAAATTAGGTTTAGGTTTGCTGAAACTGACAGTAATTCGCACACGGAATATATATATATATATATCAACAATTCTCTAACTTTGTGCAACTAATCTATACCCCGCTGTTTGCATAGATATGGGAAATATGAGTTTATGTTTTGAGGACTGCCATAAACACTGAAATGTCTGACGCTGTCCAATAGAATTCAATGTAGTTCACTGTGTTTTGAAGACATAAAAAAACGTTTTCGCATATTTCTTTTGCTCAGAGCCTTCAACATTGTAGTAGTAAATTTAAGGTAACCGCGATCATAAATCACTTCTAACTTTGTCGTCTAGAGGTACTCATGAACATTAACAATAATAGGTAGTAAAAGAAGAAGACGATTCAAACGACAGTCTGATTTTCAAGTAAGACATTTCTCTTGGACACTGAATATCCACCGATATCCACGCTGAAAATTCCATACTTGTACCAGAAATACAGTGTGGAATCAAGCTGTAATCAAAATTAAATTAATTAATTAAATTAAATTTAAATCAGTTCGACAGATGATGCAAAACTGGCTGATTCATTGTCTTTCCTCCGCCTAAATCTTGATACTCAAGAATAAGGCTCTAATAATTCGAATGTGCGTAATCAATATTCATCCCTCTTTGATATAACTGACTTAGCTTCGAAACTATCCAAAGTATCTGTATAATTATTTTCGAAACAGCCTTCCTTAACTTTCTTCCTTACACACCTTGTTTCTAATGGTCTAAATCCATACTTTATGGGCTACTTCTGTTTGTAAACTCTTTCTTCTACGTGACTACTTCTCAGTTCTACTCAACACATAAGTTTTTCCACTATATTTTACCTGATATGCGGTTTAAAATATCAAATTAGTTCCATAGGCTTACTTTGTTGGCACAATTGTTTAGAGAACTTATATAATAATCAATGTTTACTGCGTATATGTTTCATTGTGATGTTATGCAAAGTAATTAGCAAAAATAATCGATATTCTGAATATGTATTTCTACCAAAATTTTCAACACAACATTGGCAATACACTTGTAGATAAGTTTATTAATAATTTATAAAATTCAGTGACACATCTTGGTATATATATATATATATATCAAAGGAAGAGCATGCGGCAATTCCTTTGATGAGGATATTCACTCATCAAAAACATACTCATATAAATGATGAAAATACTTTGAAAAATTTCAAATTAAACTTCTATATGTTAAAAATTTATCACATTGAAATCATCTCTTCACTTAATAAGATAAATGTAGCGTGTATACATAAATATATTCAGCTAGAGTTAAAACAAAGAGTAGGAATATTGTAAAGTAGGCACCATTGTGCTTATGAAGTCAATTGGATATAAAAACTGAATTTAAGCATTTCGTCAACTTTTTCTACAGTCAGTTAACTCCTCCAGTTCTGAATAGCACCACAGCATGATTGTCTAGGAAGAAATAGATGAAATGTTTCTCTTCATGTGATATGTACCTGAAGAAGAATTCATCAGTACAAAATAACTTCATGAGTAAATCTTTTTAATTTTTCAAGAAAGTTGACAACGACTTGAGACTGACAAAAATTGCATAAAATTGTGAAAAAAATTATCCTAATTCATTTTAAGAGTTGAATTTGCTTTATTTCCCTTATTTTAAATAAAGCTGGACTGTCCATTCATCCGTATTTATTTCAGAAATATCTCTAGATCTCCTGGAGATGAGTTTCCGGGAATTATTTTTAGTTCAGCTTGAGGAGAATGGAGTATCGGGTTAGAGTATAACCCGGGGAAATCCACTGCACTAAAGAAATGGAAACAGATCAGGTATACAATGAGGTGAGAGTCGACTGACATCAGGTACCAGACTGTAGAGTGGATGGAACTCGAGTTGGAAACAAAGTGTTAGGTATCACAGAGTGAAATGGAGCAGATAGTGTGATGAGGAAATTAAAGTCCATGGGAAGTCGTCGAGTCAACTAAGGAAGACTGCAGAGCGAATAGTACAGCGTTGATGCGCTTTCGACGCCCTACATTCTACGCGGAACACAAGTCAATGATAATTATCATAATAATCTGTCTTCATGTTTTCAATTAGTACTTCTATATGTAAGTCCCACACAAGTGAACAGTAGATTCGCCAGCATTGAGTGTAAACACATATCATGGCAGGAAACAGCGGCGTTTCATAGCAGGATTGTATATTTCACAGAATACAGATACCTGACAATGAGATTTTAACTCCTTAGTGTCTGAAGGAGACATTTCAAGCAGCCACCTTACGCATAACTTTCTCCAGCAGGCAATTTATCCACTCTAATGTTAAGGACAAGATGTCGCTTCTGGCCACCTCACTGTGTATTTATCAATTTGTTTGCTCGTATCAAGCAATGTATATCGGCTGTACGCAATTTCAAGTCCACGAACGTATTCTGGAACATTTTTCAGTTTGGTTAACTAGAGGAGAAAAGAAGAATATTGGTAGTTCCACCCTCGAACACCTTGTCATCTCCGAACACCGAGCACCCCCTCATGAGTGCTTCACAGCGCTACACAGAGTCCCTCAATATCGTATAAAAGGACTTTGGATAAGCCATTTGTATATGGTTGAATCATTAGCTATTCGGGATCTGAAACCAAACCTCCGTATTCAAAATCACTACTTACATTCACTTGCCCTATCTTGGTCAGAATAGCGTTCCTACTATAATTTTGCTTCTTTCTTTTGTGTAAGTTTACTATTATTATTATTATTACTATATTTTATTATCAATATTATTCCCACCATCCATCTTTATTACCACTCTATTACTGTTTATTAATAATATTGCTTTTCATACAGATTTTATAAATATACTTTATGGTCTTTCCGCCAGTTTCTGTCTATTCTACACAACAGTATTGATTAGTCATTATCTCACAGTTATTACGCCGTGCCTCTTTGCTAACTCTCGATTGGTTATCCCTTATAGGTTACACCTTACATTTCGTAGTACATTTTTAAGGACAAATTTTAACAGGAACTGGATGCTCTTATGATTTCCATGTTAAATATAATTGCGATTGTACAGCAGTTTATGTAAATGAATCGTCGAAAACAAAATCTTCTTCGCTGTTTACGTCTTCTTCTTAAGATTTCAACTCATCAAAATTATTCCTCTTCCGCTTCTTTCCCCTTCTTTTCATACTATTTATATTGCTTCACGAGAATCTTCACTTCTTCTCTCCTTGTGTAGGTCTTTTTCTTTCAGTCACGGGCTTCACATATGACTTTTGAGGCATGGACTGTGAAGCATGTAGTCAGTTAGCCGAGGTCTTACATTTAGTGTCCCCAAAACTCTATTATAAAGTTATGCTAATCAAACAAGCCTATGTAGGGTCGATAATCTGAACTCATTACTGAAATTAACACTAAGTGCAACATAAATAGCATGCAATGAAACTTACGTGCCAAAATTAGTTCCAACAACACAATGCCAAGTTGGTGAATACTTTCTATCAAATTCTTTTTTCATAAAAGCTGCAATATCTTTTCCAAGTGTGTATTTTTTAAGCGCAATAGCACACATATCTACAGCATCCTGTTGCATTTCATCAGACATATCAACACTTTTGATAATAGCTTTCAATTCAGGCATTTTCTGGCTTTACTCTTCTTCTATGTATTCCTTGAATGTTGTACTATTTACATATATAAAATAATAATCTTTATTTGTACTTCAGGATCTCTGGGTTGCTAAATAATGTTTGAACAAATATTTTCAGCGTGCTATTTATGCGCATATATTAATTCGAGTGTGTGTGCAAGAGTGTTTGTCCACAAAGTAAGCAGTAAAAACAACTTTTCATCACAATGGTCGAAGTAACAGAAATTGTGAATATCAATTTGTACTTAGTATAAACACATTACTAAATGCTTGATCAACGGAGAAAAAAAATTTAGTCCGAATAAATTATCCGAAACGTGTGGTTGTGTGTGTTTTTGTATATGTCCGCCTATGTACGCAACAGTGAATCTTCGATTTAATTTATTAAGGAAAGGTTGAATCGATTGTAGAAACGGAAGCTTTTAACTTGACAAAAAATCTTTTAACACAACGGTAAAGCATAAGAGTGGATGGTTCATTGTCACTTTACTGGAATCTAAACTATTATGCAATAGACTGTACAGTTTGATATGTCTTTGTGAAATATGGAGAAGCAAAACAAACCTATTGCAGTTTAAGGAACTATATAAATCAGAACAGTAGATCCATTTCTGTTACTGAATATTTTTCAAAACTAAAACCAGAGGTAAATTACAATTTTCAGTGTTTCTCGTAAAAGATGTTAAATATTAAGTATGAAACTGGCTTTATTCACTAGTGTATTAAATAGTTACTTTCAACGCTGAAAAACATGGATTTAGTCTGACATTATTATTTATTATTATTGTTCCCTTGGATTACTAGTGGAACATTGGGCTTCAACTGCACGTCTCCACTTGCTTCTGTCTTTTGCTGTACTTTTCACCTGTATCCGTGTTAGTCCATACTCTTTCAACTCCTCTTCACACGATCTCCTCCATGTCACCCTCGCACTGACGTCCCGCTCGCCGCTTCCCTTTCGGCCTGGTTCCACTCGAGCAATGGCCTGACGCGCAATGTCGCCAACCGTCATCCTCAACGAGTGTCCAATCCACCTCCATCTCCACTTTTTCCTGTATATTTGTTGGGCGATTGGTTCTTGTTTTGTTTGCTCCCAGCCATAGTTTCTTGTTGGTGATTCTTTCCGGTCTGGCCATCTGATCTTTAGTATAGAGAGAAGACAGTTGTTGATAAATGTCTGCTATATCCTGTTGGAAATATTCTTTGTGACCCGCCCGCCAAGTTTCTGATCCGTATTGGAGAACTGACTTGACGTTTGTATTGAAAATTCGAATTTTGTTGTTAATGCTGAGTGACGAAGATTCCCAGATTGATTTCAGGCTGATGAATGTGTTTCTCGCCCTCCCGATTCTCGATTGAACATACTCGTCCGCTCCTCCTGTAGATGAGACAATGCTCCCTTAATAAGTGAAGTGAATGAAGTAACCTCTTCCAAATCCACCCCATTGATGGTGATTGGCGCTGGATGTTGCTGCTGTTGGTGGTGGTTGGTTATTTTCATCACCTCCGTCTTGTCTATGTTCACATGGAGTCCTCTCTTTGCTGTTTCTTCGATCAGTTTGTCGGTTTTCGCTTGTAAGTCTTCGATTGTGTGTGACATCAAACATAAGTCATCCACGTGCGAAATCCAGGTCTTCTAGGTTCTTCACGTCGGTCCAGGATATTCCTGTCCCGTTTCTCGTTTCCCACTGTCTGACGCATACTCCACTCAGTCCACCACAATTAGAAATATCATTGGTGATAATAAGCCAGCAGCCTTGTCTGACTCCTGTGTTTACTCCAAACGCCTTGCTGAGTCTTCCGTTGTGGATCACTTGACATGTCCCGTTGTCGTACAGCTGTTGAATAAGGTTGATGAATATTTCTGGTACGCTGTAGTACTCGAGTAATTTCCAAATTACTTCACGGTCAACGCTGTCGAAGGCCTTCTCAAAGTCTATAATGTTGAGGTAGAGGTTTGATCGCCATTCCATGCTTTTTTCTGTGGTGATGATGCGTAGAGTTGCAATTTGGTCAGTACATGATTTGCCTTTCCTGAATCCAGCTAGCTTGTTCTGGTCGGAGTTCTGTCTCCAGTGCGTCCTTTAATCTCTCCAGGATGATGCGACTCAGGATTTTACTTGGCGTCGATAGAAGCATGATTCCTCGCCAGTTCTTGCAGAGTGAAGCCTAAGTCGCCCTTCTTTGGTAGTTTCACGAGGTAACCTCTCCTCCAGTCAGTAGGCACCTATCCCTCCATCCAGACCTTTTGCAATAATGGAGTCAGCATGTCTGCTGTCGTCTCTGGGTCTGCTTTTAGTGCTCTAGGGGGTATTCCATCTGGTCCGGCTGCTTTTCCAGCTTTCAGAAGTTTGATTTCGTTCAAGACTTCAGCTCTCGTTGGAGGATTGGTGTCAACTTGCAGTTGTGTGCGCGCTGTTGGTGGTATTTCTGGACGGGTTGCAGGTGATGGTCGGTTCAAGAGTCCTTTGATGTGATCCGCCCATTGTTTAGTCTGTCTTTCTTCCTTGATAATTGGGTTTCCTTGGCTGTCTGGTTACTTGGTTACTGTTTATATTTTTAGAATTTTTAATATATTGGTGCAATGAAGTTTCTGTAACGGTTTGGTTGAGTTTTGAGGGTGGAGTTGCTATCACCACGCCCCGACTCTCCCTCTTTATCCGGGCTTGGGACCGGCTAGAAAACTAGCAAGCTAGTAATATAGGTGGGGTCTTAGTCTGACATAATGATAATAATCGCAGTTTCTGCTCTGTTCGGTACAAAACAGCCTTGGTAAGGTGCCTCTTCAGTAGAATCCAACGAATGTGCACTGAAGACATACTTGATGAGGAAGAATGAAATCTGACACTAACTCTGGTTAATAACAATTATCCAGACGAGTTCTTCAGGAGATATAAAATCGTCAGAACACCAAGTCCCATTCTCCAACTCGCCCCCAAGAAAGACGCGTACATCGAGCTACCCTATTTGGGGCATCATAGAAGCTTGATAATTAAACAAAGATTGAACGCTGCTGTTAGAAAGACATTTATGCAGCTAATATCATAATATTTGCGAATGTCAAGCCAATAGATCCATCTAAGCCCTTTGAACACGAGAAAAATTATGTCACATCCCACTGTGTTTACAAATTTGTATACACGTGTGGCCACACGTACAAGGGGAGGACCCATCGATATCTGTAAGTAAGGGCTGGCTTCAGAAGCAAACAGAATCCCCGGAACCCATTAATAGTGAGGATAGGAAACTTAGCCCATCTATTGCGAAACACATTATAGAGATAAGACATAAAATTGATGTTCACGCGTCGTTTGAATCTATACATAAAACATGTTTGGCGTACGTCCTTAAGTTTGTGGTAGCCCTATCAATTAGGAAGGTTTAACCACCTTTATGCGTGCAAAAACAATTCATCACATTAAACCTTCCTTGGTAAACTTTGTTTTGATACCATAGCAGATGCACTATCACCTCTGCTATTTGTTTTAGTAACCTTCATTGTTGTTTCTACCTTCAATATATCCTTTTAACTTGACCTAAATTCATTTTCTCACCTCTTAATTGTTTATTGACTTCATATATATTCCTATGACAAGTCTGCGTGTGATCAGTTGTTCGAAATGTGTTGCACAAATACAACATTACACGATTCAGACAAATTACGTCTTCATATTGCTTTGTCTGACATAATAATATTAAAATGTTTATATGATAAAACGAAAACTGGAGTAGCTGATGAATTGATTATTAACAGCTAGCTGTATTAACTGCAAATCGGTTCTTATTGTCCACTCAAAGTATACAGATAATAAAGATTGAAAAGAGTTTCCTAGTAAAAGGATATTAGTCGTTTTCAAGGAAATTAATAAGGTGGATTATGTGACATTTGTGATTTTTAAATACACCTCTAATCGAACAGTATTTCTCCTGTAGCTTTTTGTGATGAATATTTGGAGAAGCAGATCTCAGAACACATTAATCCAAGTATGAGTGAAATTTAAAGGTTGATGACAAATGAACGAAAAATATCTTATGTAATGCATAGCTGTGGTAGCACTGGTATTTATCTGAACGTGATATACATTTCTTGTACTGACTACCGAATTTAAATCACACAATGTTATACAGTATAACACTGTGTGATTTATCAAAATAAAATCTTATCCATAATGGAGTTATACTCTACCACAGTGCTCAAGTTTTATACTTACATCAACCGAATTCAAACATAGGAAGAATCTAAGTACATGGTAACAATGCCTGCACTTCATTATTGAGTGAGCCTAGAAAACAAATTTCGAAAAGTGTAATTCAACGTCATAATTGAGCGATTATCTGAACAAGTGTTGTGTAATGACCAAAACAACGTGTGGTGGTGTTTGCGTTCTACTGTGTAGTTATTCAGAACCTCCTTGAGTGACGCACAGTACAGAAATGTCCCGATAATAATATAAAGATGGTTATATGTGGTAAAATCTGAGGTACAGTGTAACACTAATGACACATGCTGTAGCAAAATTACCTCAACAATACCAGTCGGCAGATATACAAGCCAAATTCGACCTTAGACACAAAACAAGTAGTATACAACAGATTCATCCATACAAAATAAACTGTATGAAGTACCTTAATATCAAGAAGAATATTCTCAACAAGATGGAATCAAATCTCTGTCAGCAAGAGTCATGCAACAAACAATTACCACAAACAGTTTGAGGTCAGAATGACTTTGACTTACTTAAACAGAATCACAGTCATAAAACAACAGTGTCTTATCACCATTATCACACAATCACAAAAAGCAGCCTTTAAATTAGAGAATAAACAGGAACAATAACAAATAACCGATCAACCGATCGGTCAACCGATCAAAAGTAAGCGTCAGAATAATGACATTTTTAAACTAGGATAGTAGAAAAAGGTAGTTACAAGGTTATTTCAAACATTCAACTAAGTGTTAATATTAGGATTAAATCATTTGGGAGGGATTTTCCAAATAAATGTTAATAATAATAGTAATTTGCTTTATTCCAAAACAGTACTTGTGATACAGAATGGAATTCTCAGCATTTCACTACAGTATCGCATCCAGTTAATACATTATCAATAAATAAAATTCTACATAGATTAAGGATAATCTCAGTTAGTTTCGACAGCAACATATTGGCATGTCAGTAGTAAAGCCGAAATTGAACAGAGTGTTTGAAAGTGTTAGAAAAGTAGATGTTAGCATATGTACTGGCGTAAGCGGTGACAAAAAGGTTGAGTTATACAGAGTGTGAAAGAACGAAGAAGAATT